CAGTATTAAATGCACACACACAAAATAAATGCTTTCTTTGAGATGAATATTTTCTCATTTTATAAGGTATTCCCACTGTCATGTTACATATTCTGCATGAATCACACTTTTTTTCCTCTTTGGGATGATTCAACTGCATTATCGTGCAAAAAAATAAAGCACGATTTTAATAGTCAAACTTTCTATTTCAATACATTTATAGTTGAAAAATTAGAAAACTCAGACTAAAAATGAGTAATACTATTATATTAGTGTAAACAGCTATAGCTGTACTTTTTCACAAATTATATCTTATCACACAACTGGCTGCTTCTAGGCTTTCTGACAGAAACATTGAACTCTGGTAGCTAAACAGGTTCATTTTTAAAATAAATATAACTTGTATTTGTATAATTTTTAATAAAAGTTATGTCATTTACTCAAGTTAATATTTTGTTGATGTGACAAACATCATTTTCGTTTCCTTGTGGTCAATTTTCCATAGTGATAGGGAAAGTGTAATTGAAGTATTGAGTTTTTCAATTATATATAATTTCTGGGTGCTTAATAAGGAATAACAATTATCTTCTTTTAAGTTGTTTGTAATTTTCTCTAGCATCTGAGGAAAAAGATTTTCTCAAAATAGCTAATATTACTATCAAAGATGAAGATTTTTATATAATGGAAATATATAAAATGCCCTCAGTATTATCTACCTTGTAATATTCCTAATAAGATCTTCTTTAAAAAATCCTCTCTGGATTTTAATACTTCTTTAATTTTAGAATTATTTCTCTATAAAAATCCATCAATGTGGCATCTCATACCCAATAAGCTTTTGTTTTTCAAATGTTATAGCAATTAACTCATATCTCAAAATTTTTTGAAAAGGTTAAATCTTATTTCCGTATCTTTACAATAGGGTCCATTTGTTGAAAATTTAATAAAAGCTTCTAAGATATCCCTAAATTGAAAAAAATAACACTGAAATTTAGTATAGAAATCATGTTACTAAAAGCTGCAGCTTTTAAAAAAATCACCAATCATAAACTATTTCAAGAGTAAAACTGTATTTCCAGGGAACTTTGAAATACCTTATAATTAGGATGATAATAAAACAAGACAGAAGTTTCAAAATGGAAACTAATTCTACCAGTGTTTGAAATGACACAGCTGTTTTTCAAATAGCTTTTAATAAAATGTATATTACTTAAAAATAATCAAAATCATTGATGATTTTGATTACAAGATGATGAAGAATTGTAGGTATTTATCTACTGGACACAATAAGTTTCTGCAAGACAGACTATCTGTCTGGCATCTCATACCCATATATTTATTCTGGATGCCTGGAAAACATTTTCAAGTGGAACAGAATGAGAACATTGTTCTTTCCAGATTTCCATGTCTGTACGTTAGTTTCTAGGAATCGCGATGGGTCATTTTAAAAGGGGGGAGGGTGGATTTAACATCCTATGCTTTTCTCTGCATGAATTCATGATTCAATATAGACGATTATTAGCTACATGAAGATATATTTTCTGCAAAGAGCAGTAAAGTTTTAAAATATTGAATCGAGATGGCATATGGCTTAAAGAAGTAAAGCCAAGCTGTAAAAATTGAATAAGAAGCTGACATATAAGCTTCAAAGAATTAGCTAAGCAAAATGAATTCTGACATCAACAAAGGACAAAAGCTTTATTATTACAATCTCATTAAAAGCTGAGAGCTATAAAAAAAAATTGGGAGGTGACCAAAAAGGGTAACATACCAAACTCTGATGAAAACATTCTGCTGTAGAAAGGAAGGGCAACTAGATAGTTGTTACTTCACCTCATCTTTCATTAAAAAAAAAAAAATCAAAACTACGAAAGCCATTGCCCCAGCCCCTAAGGACAGTTACTGCTCTCCAAAAACGGAGAATTCCTTCCTGCGCTACCCCTGCATCCAGCTTCTCGATGTTGCAGGTTGACCATCCTGCCATCCTAACACTCTCAAGCTTCTTTAGTGACTTGAGGTCTCTAAAGCAGCACACAGAACAAACACGCATTCAAGAATCCTACAAGATCTACAGAGTGATGTTAGGCAGGCTTATGTGGTCTCTCCTCACAGATGCTGCAGTATTTTCAAAACACAGGGTCAGGCAAGCCCTCATTTTCCTGATTTTCTGCAAAGACCCAGCCTAATGGCAGCAAAGAAGCCCAGTCTCAGGACCACAGATAGAACCTAAAGAAACTCATATTATAGATGTGACCGTTTAAATTTCTTTTGTTTTACATTAAGAAAGGGGAACGGTCCTTTTAGAAAAGGGGGGAAAAAGTGCATTGACACAACAGATTGTGACAGATTTATTACTATTTACCGTGGTAAATATGTACCAAAGAAAACATAGAAATACCTTTATTTAGTTATAATCACGGAAAAAGAAAGCCTATTTTGTTATTCCAATTTTAAGTTATTTGTATTTAATGTTCGATCGCACTAAAGTAAGTTTTAAAAGAAGCACTTTGTACTGAGATGTTCACTGATGACCGGAGCTCAAGAAAAGAATAACTGTGGCAAAAGTCTAAGAATATAGAAATATAGACCCACTGGGGCAAAAAAGGTAGCAGAATACAAATTGTCTCTTTGGATTAAATTAAAAAAAATATTTTTTGTGCTGTGGTAAGCACATAGATCTTCTTATAATGAATCATTATGTACAATAATAATATATGCATCAACTTGTTATTAAATCATATATACTTGTTTTTTCAAGTTTGGAGAGAATGCCATACCCAATGGGGCATATGGCTACTCCTGGCAGTGCTCAGGAGTCATGCTTGGCAGTGCCTAGGGGGCCATGTGGTTCCCGGGATCAACACTACAGCCCGCTTTGTGCCACATGCGCCAGCCAGTTGAGCGATCTCTATACCCCAGATCGAGTTTTTAAAGGAAATTACAATAAACAGGTGACTAGATTCTAAAATTGTCCAAACTCTCTTCTTGTTTAAGATAAAAAATGAACAATAAAAATGTTTCCATTTCAACTGCATTTTTCTTGTCTTAAAAAAAGCTTATCTATTTAGCATTAAAATATTTAATCAAGATACATTCTCTATGAAGAATAAAACCTAGGCTGACCACCAAGAGCCCCAGCTTAAATAATAAAATTTTCCCTTTCAGACTTCTTGGAAAAGGAAGATATATTCATGTTTTGGATCACATGCCAACATATCAGAAACACATAAACCACTGCACTAGCAAAGAAAAAAAGTGAAACAGTGAAATTTTGTGTAGTGATCAATGACAGAAAAAATTCTTAATAATTTAAAATTATGAGAAATTACTGGTGATTAAGATCAGACATATACCTATAAGCAATGCTACCAAAATAGTTTTCATAAATTGTGTACAATGCTGCAAACTTTTAATGTTGATAAAAAGCAAAGTTAAATAAAATGAGGCGTGAGAATATTACAGCTCTAAGTAATAAAATGCTTTATAGAATAGAGCTATTCTATCACCTCTAAATATTTGAAGGTCCACTTAATATATGTAATATTATTCATATTAGGTTCCACAGGTTTCACATGTACACATCTGTGAAGGCTATTCCTGCAGTTGCCATAAAGCTATTAAAAGCTAAAGTTTTATCTATATTAAAATGATCACAAACTTCAAGTTTAAAATATGCTATAAAAACCTCAATGGATATTAGTTGACTTATATACAACACAAAAATTCAAAGAATGAATCAATTGTTACATTTTTTCAGGGACATATTGATAGTCCAAATATGCCATTGACAGTCTTAGTTACACAATATTTTTCTATTTATGGATAATTTTCTTCAACTTAACCAAGTCTATAATAATCAGCATACATATTTTGAAGTTTTTTTCTGATAAGACTTATTCTGATATTCCCTTAACATTTTTTTTTGGATTAGCTGAACTGAAAGCAAGTGTCAAACAAACAGGTGTTAGCACATTTGCAAACCCATTATTCTTCTAATCTGTTAAACATGAAATAGAGCTAAAATTAATGATAATATACATTCAAAAAATTAAGTATAATAATTTAAAGTATAAGATCTTAAGACTTGCTAGCATATTTTCCAAAAGAATAATAGTGCCTCACAGAACACAGAATTACACTAAAACTATACACACACATACACCACACACATACACACACACATGCGCGTGCGCGCACACACACACACACACACACACACACACACACACACACACACACACCATAGGAAGACAGAAGATTGGCTAAAAGGAAAACTTGCTAGAAAATTTCTAGAAACAGACCAGTTCTAAACAAAATTAAATCATGGAGGTAATAAAATTGAAAAAGGTATAGAAAGAATTTCAAGTAAGAAAGCATGTCTTTGGTTATAACTGTAGCCAGCTCTTGCTGTTGAGAATTGGAGGATCCTCGGCATCTACTGTGCATTGCTCCAGCTACATCAAAGACCCAGAATGTTTTTGGTTACAGCTGGATTCTGCTTGCCTTCACCTGGTATTCTAAACACAAATGGCTAAGGATGCAGTTACCTTTGCAGCAGCCTCTCTTCAGTAACCTCTCTAGAAAATAAAGACATTCTCCCTGCACTCTGGGCTGAAACCCATGTAAATTTTTCCTAAATCCTCTTCACAAATCTCCTTTCGCATGCAAATCCACAAATCATCATAATACTGACAAAGAATTTAACCAACACATGAAACTAATACTCATTCTCTTGAAAGACCAGTACAGGTAAAATATCCAGCAACTTCAGGCACCTTTTCAAGGCTCCTTCAGAGTTGAACCTGCTGAATACCAACACAACCACCCAGTCTTCCAGGATGTGCAATAAATCACTCCAACGGGGGGCAGGTGGCTGGATCTGCAGGTCAATTCTGGCTCATCCACATTCTAGATAAACACGCCGCCCTGACTCACGGAACCTCATTTACTCCTATCTCCTACCCATCAATACAAAAGAGAACAAAACAAACAATATGGGAGCAGAGAGAAGCAGTACTTACTGAGGATGGCAAACCTGGAGGAACTTTTCGAACTTTCTTTGTCTGTACCTCTGGAAGAAAAGGAAGAGTGGGTGAGCCCATTTTCCTAAATGAAATAGATTAAGCCACGAGCCATTTGGATGAGACCAGTCTTAAGTCACTATGTTAGCAAATGTCGGTGTCATTTTTTTTTTTAAATCCTAGCGGAAACCATATTCTCTCTTATTCATAAAAGCAAAGATATCTAACTTGTTAATGCTTAAATTTCTTTTTTTTAAAAAAGGTTTCGTATATGCACAAACAAGAGAAAACAAGAAATAAGCATGTACCAAAATAGTTCTCCTGAGACTGTATGTTCTTAGCATATTGCCCCCCATCCCCCCACCCCCACACACTGAACTTCCTACTAGAGTAGGAAGACTAAAACTAAACAATATTTTATGTTTAGGGAAGCTAGCTGGGGTAAGTAGGAGGAAAAAGAATGAGGAAGGAAGGAAGGAAGTAAGGAAGGAAGGAAGGGAGGGAGGGAGGGAGGGAGGGAGGGAGAGGAAGGAAGGAAGGAAGGAAGGAAGGAAGGAAGGAAGGAAGGAAGGAAGGAAGGAAGGAAGGGACTAAAGAGGAAGGAAGGAAGGAAGGAAGAAAGGAAGGAAGGAAGGAAGGAAGGAAGGAAGGAAGGGAGTAAAGAGGAAGGAAGGAAGGGAGGGAGGAAGGAAGGAAGGAAGGAAGGAAGGAAGGAAGGAAGGAAGGGAGTAAAGAGGAAGGAAGGAAGGGAGGGAGGGAGGAAGGAAGGAAGGAAGGAAGGAAGGAAGGAAGGAAGGAAGGAAGGAAGGAAGGAAGGGAGTAAAGAGGAAGGGAGGGAGGGAGGGAGGGAGGGAGGGAGGGAGGGAGGGAGGGAGGAAGGAAGGGAGGGAGGGAGGGAGGGAGGGAGGGAGGGAGGGAGGGAGGGAGAGAGGGAGGGGAAAGGGAGGGAGGAGGAAGGTAGAGAGAGAGGGAGGAAGGAAGAGAGGGAATGAGAGGAGAGAGACAGAAAGGAAGAAGGTGAGAGAGAAGTGCAAAAAAAAAAGAAATGAAGAGAGGGAGTACTAAATATCATTCTGGCATTCAAATAGAGGAGTACCTTACCCATGGCACTACTGTGAAGAGGCCTCCTTCGGGGATTATTGCTAGAATACTGATAATACTGGGAACCGGGTTTGGTGGGCGAAAGGGTTCCTGGGTTGCCCATATCCATGTCACCTCCAAGGAGACTCTGCTGAAAGGTTAAAAAGGAAGAGAGAAACATAGAAGGTTATTCTTTTTTTACATTCGCACCCCCCAACTGATTGTTAGTACTTAAACCGATGCAATAAAGAAAACAGCATCTGCTAAGCTGAAACAAAACACAACAACACATAGAGAAAAAGAAAAGCCATCTGAGAAGCTATCACAAACTTTGATAATTTGTAATTCTTTACTTTTGCAATGGCAGGAGGCGATTTCTTTAAAGTGTATTTTAATCTTTGCTTTGACAAGAAAAGGACCGACACGTAAGACCAGAGTTCCCTGCCTCTGGACTTAGACTGCGATCGGGGACTGCCGCATGCCTCCTTTTGAACAAGACCCCAGAAGAGTCCGAATTTTCAAACGTACGCAACGTCCCCAGGCTGCTGGCATTGGGGGGAAGTAGAGACCGCTTAACTTCCCTGAGAACCTGCCTCTCTGCACCATCGGCACAGCATAATCCTCCACGAATTTACACAGCACCCACAGAGGAGAAAACGCCAGCTGAACCGGGAGGAAATTCAAATTCTCACAGGAGCTTCCAAAATTGTAGAAATACTAGGCGCGCACATTACAGGACTTCAGAATGCCTTCTTGAGGACTGTTACCAGCTACACCACATCCCCACAGATTAAACGTTTACCTGAACACTACACAACTGGCACAAATATCATTAACTTATCACGGTATGACAAATTACTGAACTTTCTCAAATGATGACATATGAAAGATTATATAATAGTAAATTTTCTAAAAACTACACAGGAACTTACCCATAACACATAAATCGCCTGATTCTAGTCTGTATTGAACACATTGTTCTTTTAATTATTCTGATAGGCAAGAAAACAAGTATTGGTGCTACCATTTATCATAAGAACAAATTTATTATTTAATAAAGAAATTTTAAAATTAAGTACTAAAAAATCTAACTTTATCGTTACTTGTAATCAACTTTTACTGACTGAACTAATTACTGTCCTTGATAAAGTACAGAATGTGTTTTCCCTAATCTAAATTCTAATCACCATGTCACTCACAACAGACTTAGGGATGCTTCACTAACACACTATTCACATGCAAAATACTCTAAATAGGCCAATTATGACTCTGCCCCTGTTCCCTGGTTAACCCGCTGAGAACTGAAAAATTTCACAAGGCAGTCACCAACTAAAACAAAGGGTCCTTGTTTTAAATTAAGACAGTCTTTTTGATTCCTAAATAGCTCAACAAAGTGGCATGTCTTCTAGTGAAAGCAGTTGGTCAAATATGACCCATAAGCTGGAAAATCAAAAATTCAAACCACCCCTTTCCACCGCCATCTAGCTAAATATCATAAAGAGAGCCTCTCTATTCCGAGGGATTTTTGTTGAGTGCTGGATGAGTAATATATAAAGGACTAATCAGCTACTGACAAGCTTGTCTCCCCTGATGCCAGTTTAAGACTTGTTCAAGGGATCCATAATAAATGTTACTTTAAAACTCCAAGGATAAATTTTAGGTAGCATTAGATTGTGAATATCTTAATATTTACTACATAAATACCTTATAAAAGTCAGATTATGACCAAAGCAAAAACTTGACATCTGCTTACTCAACTACTGCCTCTTCCAAACTTAAGAACCGTATTAAAATACTACACAATAGCACACTAACACACAGAGCTCTTTAGAATAATAGTTTTCTATCAAAAATCAAACAGTATATCATCAAACGGTTTCTTTATCACTATAGGAGTGGGCATTCAAAAATTTCATTATCAACCAGAAGGATTTCTCCCATGGTATATCTTATAAACAAGATCTATATTTATCTAGAATCAAGTCCAACTTTTCCTTGAAATTTCCACCAACAAAGTTGCGAATAATTGGAATTACAACCTCCTGAAATCTGATAAGCTTACAAATGAATCTTCATTTCATTGGAGATATAAATTAAAATTTATATTATTGATAACGGTATTCTACACAGGCATGACTTTATTTCTTCATACTTTTTCTTTTTCTAAAATTATAGGAAATACTCAGAAAAGGCTGAGCAAATACGCTGAAATGCTTGCCTGTCTTTTTAATGAGCTTAACCATTGTTTAACTCTTGTTGGTCCTGGTGGCAAAGGTTTTCACTTCCAAAAAAGTCGATGCATTGACTAGGTCAACATAAAAACAAACAGACTGACTCTAATGTGTTTTAGCGGTATTCACAATAGAGCGGCGAAAAATATAAAATGATAACTAGAAGCTAACTAACTGGTTATGGCTGACCTTACTGTTAATTTAGAAGAAAACACTGCATGGGCCAGTTGTAAATAAATCATGCATCACGGCCACAAGAACTAATGTATAGGCAAGAATGCTAAAACCAGACAACAGCACTTACAAGCATTTCAGGGTTCCTGCTAATTCTTTCTCTTTTTTTACACAGCACATTCCTACTTCTTTTCTTTTGAGATCTGTTTGTTCCTTTTTCTTTTTAACTCAGACAATAGAATCATTCTTCTAAAGCACCAAAAATAAGCATTTCCTCACACTTAAGGGGGCCCTAGCAACAACCCCCCCCCCCCGGGAAAATGTAAAATAAAAATATGTGCTCTTATTGTAGAGTATAGTTGTAAAATGAACAATGTTCATTTACTATTGTTTAGTTTTTACGTCACACACTTGACTCTGTAGCAACTATATATATATATATATACACACACACATATACACACACAGAGGCTGAAAAACTTGAATTCAGGAATTTTAAAAAGTTAAAGCATTTGGTTTAATTAGTTACATCAAATACCACACAAAATGGATAAAACATTCATTTGTATATAAATTTACCTTCACACACATACATATACATGCATATGCACATCTGAAAACCAATTTATGCTGAACGAAAGTTAAGTTTGAAAGCCAAATCTACTTTCAAAATGAACAAATTCATCTTTGCTTGAAATAGGATTCTCAAGGTTTTCAGGTTTTCCTTTCTAGTTGCGCAAGCTCTGCTCTGTGGTTGTGCTGGGTCCCAGTACAAGGAGGCCCATGCCCACCAGGAAGTAAGATGTGGCATCTCTCACAGCTAACCTGTAAATCTTAAACCCAGAATTCAACATTTTGTTTAACTGTCTTCACAGTGCTGAGAGGAGCCCTTCCACTCATTCGCCCCTTATTTTCTTCCCAGCGCAAAGTTTAAGACGTAAGAGTCCCCCTAATCAAAGAATAAAATATACTAACTTTGCCAACCAGGTTTAAAATACGCTCAGGTCCAACCCTTGCCATCAAGTCTTCAGCAAAGAGCTGGTTCCAACATCGTCACTCAAATGCCAAGTTCAGCATTCTGTGAGTCCCTTTCATTAAAATTTTTGTTTATTTTACATTAGATCTGGTTCCCAGACAGTCTTTCTAATATATTCTCAAGCCTGTCTCCAGTCCTTTTGAGGGCTGGGGGTGTGGGGAAGGGAGCGTGTTAACATCCTGGATCAACTACTGAAACTTTGCTTATGCAACCAAGAATGCAAACCATGAATTAAAACTTGAGTTAACAGAAAAGCAGCCTATATCTCAAATTAGACTTATAACTGAATGGTAATCAAAAATAGAACTAACTGCTTCAAGCTTAAATTATCAACTTTCTTCTTGTTAAACTAAAATCATCTCGCTCTGAACTATTATTTCATTTCAGTCAGCACTTTAAATGTAATGGGTGGGTGGTACGTTTCTCAAAAGGAAGATTATATTTACCCTTAATTATAGATAGGAGTGAGATCAGAGTACGATGAATGCTGCTTTTTTTTTGGGGGGGGGGGTTACAATTAATTCATCATAATAGGTGAACGACCTTGAATTTCAGAATTGGAGTTTGGGAAAGAACAAAAAGTAGGAGGGGAAAAAAAATCTCTGGGGAAAAGCAAATGCAGCCCTGGTTTGTTAGGGCTTTCTCTGATTTTGCGTCACTCCCATTACGTTGTGATCCGATATCAGACACAACATCTTGGGGGGATGTTGTAGAACAGAGAAAAGCAGTCTCAGATGAAACCAGATTAAGCTCCTTTTCTGAACTATTGCCAAATGCTTGTGAGTCTAATTCATGTTTGGGTATTCTAGTACTCACACAGCTGCAATTCCATTCTTTCACCACAAACCTAAGTGATGTATAGTGGCTTTGTATGGCTAAGTGACTCGATAAAGCCAGGAATTTTGGAAGTCTTTACATTAATATGGAAATAGCTGTCCGGACTACTGTGAAACTTCCCAAGTGCAGGGTATGTGTTCAGGTACCTAACAGACTTTGTACTGCTCGGTGCAAAATAAATTCAGCTTGGAAAAAAAATAGAAATGATATTTGTTTAAAACAGTTTTTGAAAAATCCCAACTGAGGTCATTTCTCCATAGTTAATTTTGCACAGAATCAGATTTTCAAAGACACTGCTGAATAAGGTTCCTAATAGCCATAGGGAAGTTTTCCCTGTTGAATACCTGCTGCTGAATTTGCCATTTTGACCACATAAGGGCCATTGCTGACTTATAGTAGAAGCAGGAGGGGGCGATAATTTTGCTGCTGCTGGCACTTACTCTGCAACCTAGAATATATCTCACACCAAAGGGCAATGAAGAACACAGTATTTCCACCTGCCCACTTCTGAACTTCAAAGATCACAAATGAAGGTCAATCTTTTTGGACAGACTTAAGTCCTGATACCTGAAGGTCCAGAAATAGTCCCATTATAGTTTATTTTAAGATCTGTTCCATACTCACTTGGTTCTAACAAAAGAGGACCAAGGAATCTTACAAAGATAAGGCGGCAAGGATCACTTTCATAATCAGGGACTTAACAGATTGTTATTTTTGCCTCGGAAAATGCAAATCAGTAAAATCAACAGTTAAAAGGATTTTTCTATTTTAGAACTTTGGTCAATTTAAAAAAAAATTCTACTTTAAGCATGTCATGTACATTGTAACAAATGGGAGATAGAATCCAAACCTCTGAAGTAAAGAGGAAGGCTC